ACACTCCCCAGGCGGGGGCTCCACAGGCCCAGGGACCCGACACTCCCCAGGCGGGGGCTCCACAGGCCCAGGGACTTCCCAGGGCTCGTGTTCACGTAGCTGCTCCATCCCATTCTGAAAATCTAAGTAAAAAGCAAACCCCCTCTGACCACTGCCCCAAGAGCACCCCTCACCTAATGGAGGGAAGCACGGCCACTGTCCCAGTTTTGCAAACAGGGATGTGGCGCAAACTCCTACCCAGAGCCACATACCTGGAGACCCTCACGTGCAGTCAGTACCAGGCCTGTGGCTGTAGGTCAGACACCTACACCAACGGCCTCCGCCAGACAGCACCTGGGTGGCTAGGTGCAGCCTTCAAGCGTCACTCTGGCCTCAGGCCCCTCCCAAGCTGCAGCTGTACGTCATCCTGCACCACCGTGCCTTGCGAGCCCCGGCCCCCGGCCAGTGTCCATCAGGGCAGGAGCGTGGCTGCCCCATGTCTCTAAGGCCTAAGTTAGAGAGCGGCTGTGTGTCCACTCTCCCATGGGAAGGACGCACCCTCAGTCACTGCAGTGTGCTGAGCACTCACCCAGGAGCTGTGGCCACAGGGACGGGGCCAGCCAAGCCCAGACAACCCAGCACTCACCTGGCCAGTGGCCCCTCTGCACTGCCTGGAGCTCAGGTCTCTCCCGGTCTTCAACCCACGGCTCCTCCCACTGTTCCAGGCGAGAGACGAGGTCTGGTCTGGGGCTGCAAAATCCTTTTCAAAGGAGAGAAAAGGTTCTGTTTTACTTGTACTGAGGACAAAGCGAGGGTCGAGGCTCAGAGCAGTTCTGCACTAGCCTAAGAGGCCAGGCAAGCCCAGACCTCGGGGCGGCCCTGGAGAAGCTACCCTGAAGCAGAGATGACAGGAAGGGAGGGGCCTGGACACCAAGGCCCACGGAAGGCCCTGACAAGGTCAGAGGAAGGAAGATGAGGCTGCCTCCAGTGAGCCTGAGAGAAATGCCAAGTGGGCCCCTCTGTCTACACAGGCCAAGAACTTCCAGCTCCTGAGTCCCCTCGGCTGGGAGGCCCCACGACCATCCTGGACCAGCCAGGCCCGGAGGCAGCGGCAGAGCTCACCCCACGCTCAGCCCGCACTCACCGCGCTCACCCCGCGCTCACCCAGCACTTGGCCCGCACTCACCCAGGGCAGCCATACTGCTGAAGTTGTCCAGCATCACGTCCCGGTAGAGGGCCCTCTGGCTGGGTTCCAGACACGCCCACTCCTCCCTTGAGAAGTAGATGGCCACGTCCCTGAAGGTCACCGGCTCCTGCAACACACACAGCTCCCGAAGTGGCCATTCCCAAGAAAAAGAAGGCTCAGCCCACAGGTCTGGGCGGGAAGGGGGAATCAGGGTGGCCCTGCTGTGGACTGATTGTTTGCGTCCCCTAAATCCATATACTGAAGCCCGGAGCCCTGAGTGGCTGTGTCTGGAGATGGGCCTCTGTGGAAGAGATTAAGGTTAAGTGAGGTCAGAAGGGTGGGGCCCTGACCCATGGGCCCGGTCCTCACAGGAGACTCCAGAGAGCTCCCCACCTCCTCACTGCACATGCGTCAACACAGCACAACAGTGGCTGTCTGCAAGCAGGCCACTGGCCCCGCCAGAAACCAGATCTGCAGCACTCTGATCTTGGACATCAGCCTTCAGAACAGAGGAAGTGCATGTCTGTAAACTGCCCAGTGTGTTGTACTTGGTTACGGCAGCTCTAGTAGACTAAGACAATCTAGTCTATTTTCCTACAACAGCCACTATTCTCCTAGTGTCAATGAATCCAATTTTCTTTTCTTTCCTTTTTTGAGATGGAGTTTTGCTCTGTCACCAGGCTGCGCAATCTCGGCTCACTGCAAGCTCCGACTCCCAGGTTCAAGCAATTCTCCTGCCTCAGTCTCCCGAGTAGCTGGGACTACAGGCGTCCGCCACCATGCCCAACTAATATTTTGTATTTTTAGTAGAGATGGGGTTTCACCATGTTAGCCAGGATGGTCTCAAT